ACGCCCCCCCCCCCGGACTGCCGCCACTGCCTGTGCTGGCGATATATTCGGTAGCCCGGCCCTCGGATCAATGGCTTCCTGTGACCATCAATGAGTCTCTCCTCTACAGGAATTTTGGGGGGCCGCTCTTCTTTCCCCAACTGCTCCGGGTCTCTCCGATTGGAAGGTTCCTTTTCCCTCCACCGGAGCTCTATGGGATTCGGGTCTGGACTCATTACTGACCGGTCCAGTACTCTCCAGCGCTTTGTCTGACACCATTTCTGGGGGGGCATTGGGGTCATTGTCCGGCTCTATGACCTCTGACGGAGACCCAACTTTCTGACGCTGGGCCCTGCACTGCCCCCCAGAATTCTTTGGTGGTCTTAAGATATCATAAGGCCGTGCACACAGTCAGGACATCTAGCGCCGGAAGCAGCAAAGGAACCCCAAAATATCAGTGACCCCCCCCACCATGTGTCAGGGTACCATGCACAGGCGTCCTTACACCACATGTAGGTACCCACACAGGATAGGGTTATATGCACACGGTTTATGTGTTACACAGCAAACAAAACTACAACCCCCCTCAACCCCCCTCGGGTTTAGCAGTGAAGTAACAAAAACCACGGTTGGGACAAACACACACCTACAGCCAGGGGGAATAGCAACAAGGAGGGGTAACAGGACTGCAGATAGACAGCAGGCCTCAGGATACAGGAAGAGTGGTCAGGTAACAAGCCGGGTCGGTGGCAGGGCTCAGGTAGCAGGGCTCAGGTAGCAGGGGTTCAGGTAGCAGGGGTTCAGGTAGCAGGGGTTCAGGTAGCAGGGGTTCAGGTAGCAGGGTTCAGGTAGCAGGGTACAGGACATGTGAATCAGTCAGGTGCAGGCGACGCAATACTGATCCAGCTTCCTGACTGCAGGTAGGGCCTAAATACCCTCCCAGGAAGCACCAGATGATGGAATGATCACTCACAGCTGGAGACACCCGCAGGTGAGTACTGGAGCTGCAGGAGACACCCGCAGGCGAGCACAGGAACTGCAGGACCTGGCTCCAGCACCACCTGGGGGTGCTCTGGATCCTGACAGTACCCCCCTCTCAAGCGGACTCCGGACGCTCCCACAAAGCCACAAAGTCCATCCGCATCCTCGAAGTCCAAGGGCACGGAAAGCCTGCAAGGCCGCCAAGTCCACCATATGCCCCAGGGCCAAAGTTCAGGGACCCCCCCCCCCTGCCAGGGTCAGGCATCAGGCCAAGCAGTCCACCACCCGGATCCGGCAGAAGTCTCCACAGGCCAGCAGAAGACCCAACAGAAAGGCCATTGGGTACGTAGGGCACACCCCCCAGCACCGAGGAGCCTGGGTTTCAGCGGGCAGACCACCGCAATGAAACATGGGGGGGGGGACACTAGTAGGACCGGCGTCACGTTCAGCCAGCCACCCGGATACCCCCAAAGTTGTGCCCACCCGACCCAGGTCACCACATACTTCAGGGAACGCAGCGAGACCCTTTGGAAGCAAGGGGTGCTCAAATGGAACTCCCCCGTTCCCCGGGATATCACCACTACCAGGCCCGGGCTTTCGCACATGGTCGCC